AACACCCCGCACTCGAGTTCCGACGCTTCCGACGGCGGGCGGAGGCGGACCTAACACGGCTAACGCGGCGGAACTCTCGTTTGAAGTGGATCAGTGGACCTCTCTCCTGCAAGACCCTCCTGCAACCCACCGCCGACGGCGAAACTCTCTCGGTTCTCATTTCGTATCGGAGAGGGAGGAGGGAGAGGGCCAGGCGGGCGGCGGTGGATGAATACCTCTCAATACCTCACTCACGTGATCACTTGAGCTGCACACGAATACATGACGCAGCTCAGATAGACTATGTCCACGGAAGCATCAGGCACAGAAGCATCAGGGTGTCGCTTTCGTCTGGAATACATTTCTAGACACATCAAGACCGGAGATGTATTGCACGTTGTTGTGTACGCAGAGGGTCGTTCGTACACAGCAATACAGCAGTAGCAAGCAGTGGATGCCATGGTTATGTCTCGATCAAGACCGGAGATATGTGACACATTGTTGTGTAGGAAGAGGATCGTACATAGACTACATATAGTAATGCAGCAGCAGCAGGCAGTGGATGCCGTGGGACCTCGGATTAACGATAATGGTTCCTTGACTTCGACCTCTCGTGAGTACGTGGGAGACACAAGGAACTGCGGGCTTGCCACAGGAGATGGTGAAATATAGAGAGAGTGGTGGTACACGCAGCATGAACGCTGTCCTAAGATGGCTGGTGGTGAAGTAGCACGCGCCGTGCGCGAGGACCGCGGTGTTCTCTACTTCATCGCTTATATTCTGCCGATGCCAGTCGACTGTTCAGGCACGAGTGCCGAGATTAACCACGAGGAACTTGGTGGGTTGAGTAGCGAGATCTACTTGCAGGAGCGAGATCTACTTCAAACGAGAGTTCCGCCGTGTTGCAGGAGAGAGGTCCACTGATCCACTTCAAACGAGAGTTCCGCCGCGTTAGCCGTGTTAGGTCCGCGTCCGCCCGCCGTCGGAAGCGTCGGAACTCGAGTGCGGGGTGTTAGTGATGTGTGTTCGTGAGCGTGGTCTGCTGGTGGTCTGTTGGTCGAATAGCCCAGCCATTTTCGGGTAGGCGAGAGGAAGATCGGGTGCACCCGGTGGGAATAGGGCCAGGGCCGGGTAGGGGCGGTCGTCGGCCAATCAGATGGCGCCATGAGGGTGCTGCCGACTGTGAAAAACAAGTGTTGCACCCGATAATGGTCGGATTGGGGCCGGGTGTACCCGATTTTGGCCACTCCTCAAAAAAAAAATCGAGTTAAGTTGGTGTCAAGACCTCGGTTCTTCCCATAGGATATAAGGCATATTTTTTCATCATCTACTACTGCTGTAGTCTAGTAAACCTTCCACGCGTGACAGCATCAAAAGTCCTGGGGACACAACATCCTCGTTGCTCGGTTGACATGTCTGCCTGGACTCGGCAACCCACGTTGACAGGTCCAAGCATTTGGCGCCAAGCATTTGTTGGCGATGTGAGAGGGGGGCGCAGTGAGAATCCCATTCCGGGCGTAGCGAAAGGGGGGGGGGGGAGGGCGTCCTCTTAATTTTTGCATGCCTTAGCGGTTAGACCATTGACCACGCGTCCTCGAGAGAACGGAGCATTGTTCCCACAGGACCGATCACCGATGTCCAATCGTTCGTTTCTACTTTGCCAAAGGTGGCTCAAAAATGTCTTCCCTAGTCTGTCTATCCTAACGATATATCTTCCCGCCTTTTCAACCCACCTCCTATGCCCCAGTATTATTGCTACCGTCCTCTCCTCTCTATTCCACGCATCAAACATCTCCCTGTACGTCCCATCGATTTTTCCCAGCTCAGTCACGTACACTTCCCTCTCCTTCTTGTACAACGGACATTCCGCGACTACATGAACACGGTCTTCGCATTCGAAGCCGCAATCACATTTGAACTCGTCGTCTTCGTCGTCTACCGTCCCATGTCTTCGTCCACGTTCTCGAAGGCCTATGTCCCCGGTCCTGAATTTGACCTTAAGCTTTGTTCCTGCATCCATTGGTCCATGTAGGTAGTCCTTGAACCCTATT